ACTCAAAAGAAGGTATCTCCTATCTGGCATTGTTGCTTGTTATGTAGCCTTTAGCTATACATATGGACTCTTAAAAATTATATTGGCCCCTTTAATATTTGGTTATACTTTCCTTTTGTGTGTTTAAGGCCATATAGTTGGCCCAGATAAACCAATTTATTTTTACTTTTAAGGCTGTTTGAGGATCTGTCCTCAGGGGTCATGGCTGCCTTCGCTTGGAGACATGGAGGAAATGTTTCCTCTGTGTTGACCCTCCTCATTGTAGACTGGACACTGGTTCAAGTCCATCTCAACCTCCTTGATCAAGAGGGCAGGTGACCCACCACAATTACAGGACTATGAGAGATTCTCCTAGTCCCATGGAACTAATCGACCTAGTAGGGCAAGGAGCAAAACCTGTCCTTTATGTCCCTCTGACCAAATTAGTATAGGCTTCAAAGTATGTCTGTTAAAGATCCAAGAAGGTTAGTTCCACCAGTCTGGTGATTTTAATTACTGTGTGTCATGTAGATAAATCTTGGGTAAAGACCAATTGTTCTCAGATAAACCTTACCTAGAAGTATATTTCTTGATCTGCTATGTATAATTTGTGTGTAGGTTGTTGGACTAATATGGTTCCCTCTGGTTTTTAAAACTAGCTAGGCATTATTTATCTCTCGCATTGTCTCACCCCTCCATCATGGTTTCCTCAATTAAGGTGCCCCCATTTCCCCCCTTTCTCCCTTACTAATACCCTTCTCCTATGGTCCTACCTCTCTTGAGCTCCTTCTTTCCCCTTATCCCCTAGGTTTCTTGTATACCCTTCCCTCCCCACCTCCCTTAAACTAACCCAATTTTTTATCCATATCTCCCTTATTAAGACCTGTTTCCTATTGCTCCTATCTTTCAGGTTCTTTCTTTCCTTTACCTTCCTGGTTCCTTTACATTATCCTAGCCTCTGTAGTTCTGTCTGGATACATGCTCACTTAAAAGGGTCTGGTTCTAGTATCCACATATGATGGAGAACATTTTTTTCTGAGTCTCTGTTACTTCACTTAGTATAACAGCCTCTAGTTCCACCCATTTACCTGCACATTTCATGATTTCATCTTTCTTTACTGCTGAGTAAAATGCCATCGTATACAGTTGAAGGACATTTAGGTTATTTCCATCTCTTAGCTATTGTGAAAAAAGCAACAACAATCATGGATGTACAAGTGTCTCTGCAGTAGGATGAGCTCTTTGGGTCTATGCCAAGGAGTGGTATAACTGGGTCAAATGGTAGGTTCATTTGTAGTTTTTTAAGAGTTCTCCATACTGCTTTCCATAGGGGTTTAACCAGTTTGCAGCCCCACCAGCAGTAGATGAGAGTTCCCTTTTCCCCACATCATCTCCAACATTTGGTATCATTTGTTTACTTGAACTTGGCCAGTCTGACTGGAGTAAGGTCAAATCTTAAAGTGGTTATAATTTGCACTTCCCTAATTATTAGTGATGTTGAACATCTTTTAAGATGTTTTATCGCCATCTTTACTTCTTCCTTTGAGAACTCTCTGTTCAGCTCCTTAGCCCATCTTTTAATTGGGTTACTTATTGTCTTAATTCTCTGTTTTTTGAGTTCATTATATATTCTGGATAAGGACTGCAGGGTTTTTAAGGTTGTACTGTCTTATATTAATGTTAGCATCATATCTTGGAGACAAGAATTGGAAAGGTTATGGTTTAATAGTGATGTGTTTGTGTCAAGTTGACAAGGGGTCAATTGTGCTGGATAGCTTTAGTGTCAACTTGACACACCTAGGTTGAGGGAGCCTCACTTGGGGAATTGCCTTTATTGGACTGGCCTGTGGCCATGTCCACGGGGCACTTTCTTGATTGTTGAGTGATGTGAGAGGGCCCAGCCCACTGTGGGTGGTGCCATCCGAGGGCAGGTGGGCCTGTGTTGCATAAGAAAGCAGGCTGAGCAAGGGCCAGGGGAGCAAGCCAGTAGGCAGTGATCCTCCATGACCTGTGCTCCAGCCTCCAGGTTCCTGCCCTGAGTTCCTACCTTGGACTCACTAATGAACCGTGACCCGGAAGATGTAAGCTGAATAAACTCTTTCCTCCCCAAGTTCGTAGTGGTCAGAGTGTTTTGTCACAGCGGTGGAGAAACAAACAAGGACAAAAAGTCATTAATGAATCTCTCCATTCTCATTAATGAAGCTCCCTCATGCAACAGAGGACCAGGAACACAAAAGGTCACAGATGGCCAAAACATAGAGAGTAAGAGTCTGCAGAATGCTGGGTCTTGGATGGGACTCCTATATTAAACTTCATCCACCCAGGGCTCAGGCAGCATTGCAGTAGAAGGGGCAGAAAGATCATAAGAGCCAGGGAGGACATGCACAACCATATGGAAATAGAGTCCTATATGCTCCTAGGACCCTCCTCATGTGATTCTACAGCAGTGGTGTCAGCAAGCGCAAGTCCCATTCAAACTCAAGTGGACAAAAATCCAGTATAGAACTGGGGAAATGGACAGCAGACCCCAATCTTAGCTGAAGAAATACTGACAAGTGATTACTACTAGGGACAGAAGAGCTGATCTTCCTAAAGCGAGGAACTCTAGGTAAGCTGACTGGACCTCAGTATATTAACTTGCACTGAGGAATGTCTGGGGACACTAACTTGACACAGTGGGCCTTAACACAAATGACAGCATGTATGAATTCAATTGGGGGCAGCTATAGGCATGCCAGTGGACACAATGGTATAAAGATGATTAAAATTTATTGAGATGTTCTGTATGAAATACAAAAATTCAAATAAAAAATAAATTAAAAGAAATAAAAGCTGAAGATTATTTCAAATAAAAAAATTGTTTAAAAAAAATAACCATAGTCTTTCTTAAGGTTTCATAGGGCATTTATTTTAGAAAGAAACTGTCTCAGTTGTATCTGCCAGGGGCCTCATTGTGATAGCTTACATTGTATTTTCTGTAAAAATTTACCAGGGTCTAGAAGGAATAAAAGGACAAGTCAGTCACGAGTCTACTTTAAAAAAAAAAAATTAAACTAAGCCAGGTGTGGTGTGCACTTGAGAGGCAGAGGCAAGCAGATGTCTGTGAGACTGGGATCAGCCTGGTCTACATAATGAGTTCCAGGCCAGCTGAAACTACAAGAAGACAGTCTCAAAAAAAGAAAAAAAGGAAAAATAGTAATTCGATGGAAGTTTGCTGTCAGCATTCTTCCATGGGGTTGAGGATGAAGGGAGGGTATGATTTAATATCTAAACTGCAATCCATTTCCCAACTGTAGATGTCAGCGCTGAGCAGCATAAGCCTAAAGCACCAGAGAGAAATGGCAGCTCCAAATTAAGTGCACTGATATCTTTCAATTTTGTAGGTTTGTACTGTGACAGAATGGGAAGAAAGGAGGAAATTATTACTCTTTTGTACCTAAGTGAAATGTGCTAGATGATAACCATGCACACACTGTTGACACTCTTCAACTGAGAAGAGAGAAGAGAGTTTAGCCGGGAGGGCAGATATGGTGGAGGGCATTATTTCAGTCATATTTTTAAAAAAAAGATATACTTACCCAAAAGAGCAAGTTGAAGAAAAACAGGACATATTTCAGCAATTTTAAGCTGCTCAAGCCCATGCTGGGATATATACCCTAAAAAAGTAGAAGAATAAAAGAATTACATGATTTGACTTTACAAGGTTGTACCACAGCCTCCAAAATATAAATGTTTATGGTTCAAGGATCATTAACATCACCTACATTAGAAATATATCTCCCCTCTAGGAAGTTTCCCCCAAATCCCTACTTTCTTATTTTGTGAATTTAAGTAAAAATTGAAAGCCATCTTGAAGGTTGAATTTTACTCAAAATCAGTAAGCAATATTTGACATTGAATTAAACACTGTGGCAGAAAGCAATAAGCAATTCCAAGAAGAGGATGAGTTGCAATGACACAGCATGTGGTAGTGCTTTGGTCATGCGTAACATGAGTGACTACTGTCTGGGCACTCACATAGAAAGACAGTCCTTGAGACCAGGATGGCTGGTCAGTATGCCATGGAGAAAGCCAATGGCTTGATCAGCTAGTTCCTTAAATGTCCTGAGATTTGTATACATACTAAATTTGGCCTGGAAACCTCTCAGCATGAAAGTGGGAGAAAACATATGCCTCATTTGTTCTTTTATTGCACAAATATCTGTGGTATTTCTCTTTTAGATTTGGCTATGACCAAGTATCAGATATCTTCCAGTAGAGGTCAGTCTTACAGCAGAAATTAACCAAACTGACAAATATGCAAATAAGCTAAAAAAGAAGGTAATGTGAACATGATCATTTAAAAGAGGATATCAGTTTGTCAGTGAAGACACAACTCCGTGTGTGTGTGTGTGTGTGTGTGTGTGTGTGTGTGTGTGTGTGTGGTTTGTAAATGATATATGCATACATGTGTGTGCAGGTACCAGAGGAGTAGGTCAGATATTCTGCTCTGTCACTCTGTCATTTTCACTTGAAGCAGTATCAGGGTGAGGGGGATGCTCTCAATTTCAAGGTCACACACTTTTTTACCGCTGCAAAATCATCTCTGCCCCATAAAGTGCATATGTAAGTTTGGGAGTTCATTTTCCAGCTTATCAAACTTCTCATTCAAAATTTAAGTGAGTACTGATTAGAAACTGTCCAAAGCTAGGTATCAATATGAACAGTGTGTGATATTTATCCCAAACTGGAATTAGTTTCTATTCCCACTCTCCAGTCTGTAAACTGGATTTACAGAATAGAGTATACATAGGAACGTGCTTCTCTATCAGAGAATAACTAGCCCTGTCCTGAACAATGTTTTTGTTCTGCCAAGCAACCTTTAAAAGAATAAACCATTTTCCAGGAAGTTTATCTCAAAGTTCAGAAATATATGTATGGATACAAAAATATACCCAAAGAGGTAAAAGTAAAAAATTCTGAATTTACTCAAAATACCAGGTGTTCTAGAAAAAAAGTACAATCTATAATGTGGAGATAAA